GAAGAGAAGAGCGACTGAAAGCCGAAGTTATAACTTCAGCTCGGGAGTTCATGTTTGGAGCTATTCAGCCTTGAGTCATGAGTTGTTATACTCTTCCTGCTTGCGAGCTTGTGCTGCAAGCCTCTAGTGCCAGGGGGTACACCGTCCAGGGAAGACTGCTTTCTGCAGACATAGCAGGCTGAGTGTACTTGAAGTTTCACAAGGACCAGACCTGGGTCAGGGGTACTTCCCAGACCATGAGCTCGCTTTCCCTGTTACCAGCCTGTGTTCTCCTGTCCCAGGAAAAGAAAAAATAGTGTTCAATGTCCTGAATGTGTTCAAAGGAATAGGAAGATCACGACAGAAATAACTGTCACCAGAAAGAGAATCTGTGCCAGAGACACACTATGCTACTCCCAAATAGGCCACTCAAGATAACAACAAGGTTTTATTTTGACCTGAAGGACTTAGAAGAAGCAAAGAGAAACCTTCTGTGTTCTTGATAATGACTTAAAAAAAAAGGGGGTCATTAGTCCTTAGGAATCCATCCCCCCGTTTCTACTAAGACAAACAATGGAGTGTCCATAGACAAACCAGCTTGCCTCTAACAGTGTGCATGGTTTTACCCATGTTCAGGGTCTCCTGATACCTTGAGTTGAACTTGTTAAGTGCTTATTTACCTGGGAAATGGTTTCATTTTAATGGATTTGTTTTGCTCATATAAGAGCAGTTTCAGAACAATAAAGCAGAGTTCTCACATACTTCCCCCTAAATGTCTCCTACTAAACTTTTATTATATATTTAAGAAGAAAGAGACTTTCTTCTGCCCCTGTGGATGGACAGGTGCTGCTGTATCTTCTCAGAAATCCACAGTCCTGGGGGCTAAGACCCTCTATGGCCGTACCTTCTCAGGAATGCACAGTCCTGGGGGCTGAGGACCTCTATGGCTGTACCTTCTCGGGAATCTGTAGTCCTGAGACTGAGACTCTCTATGGCTGTACCTTCTCGGGAAACACAGTCCTGGGGACTGAGCACCTCTATGGGGTTTCCATTCTAGTTTCTAATCTGATTCAACCCCTTATCTTCCACCTTAGATATCAGGCTACTGGACACTAACAGGTGTCAACTGTGTCCACATCGAGGGCCTGCTAGCCTGGTTTCTATGCTGGCTGATCCCTTGTGCAGGTCCCTCCTCCTTACGAGCTCCAGAAGATGCTATGCGCTTTCTGCATCCCAGAGATGCACTTCAACATGATTTTGAGTATCTGAAATTGATGGACGTAGAAAGAGGGTCAGCACTCCCAAAGTCTCTGCTTCATGGGTGCCCTAAGGACATCTACTGCAGTGTCTGTGGAAGAGCCCCCATGGCCGCACCGGAGAGGCAAGTAGAACACAGCAGCATTTGCCTCAGTGCTGGTGAAGTCTCCTTGCTCTGTGCCTCCTCCAGGCTTTCCTTGCAGGAATCTGACCACATTTTAAGAATGGATGCTCATTGGCCTTTTGCTCTCTGTAAAATACTGGCCAGCAGTGTCATTGCCTATAAAAACTCAAAGTAGCCAAGCCCCACCTGTTTATGTGCTCAGCCAACACATATTTGCTGAGAACACTGTGCCAGACACTGAGTGTTGTGTCAGTGAAAGGGGAGTCTCCGCTTTCAGGGTGACTATATACAGTGAATCAAAGCTATAGAAAGGGGTACTAGCATAATGAGACTAATTATTTTGGTGATGTCAAATATAGACGTAATGCAATTGCTTATGGCAAAACAAGGAGACTCATTGAGGTGCAGCGCCACCCATCCTGTAGGCCAGACGTCATGAAGAGTGGCTCCAAGTGGGAACACTCAATGGGACTATTACTCATAGGGCAATAAACGGAGTGACATGGGAGAGTGTAGGGGTGTCCTGCCTATTTATTTTTTTTCAAATACACCCTACAGACACAATGCCCAGATGCTCCCGACATATAACAACTGGGCCTACAGTGTCTTGATTTTTGTGACAGTGTGAACATAAATCTACACGCCATTCTCTTCTTCACTGTAGCTCTGTCTTCGGTAATGTAGTGGCATTTCATTTGTATTTTAATAAATACAGCTTGCCTGGGGATGGGGAAAGTAAAACAGCCACACTGGCCAGCCTCGCAGACCAGGCAACAATGATGCACACCTTTAATCCCAGATCTAGAGAGGATTATAAAACTGGAGGAGACAGCGCTCTGTCTCTGTCTCACTCTGAGATTCTGCGAGGCAGGATCGCCATTTCGGACTGAGGTAGAGACAAGAGTCAATGGCTGGCTGTTTTGTTTTTCTGACCTTCAGGTTGAACTCCTCTCCCACCCCACCCCCCAAAAAAGAGAGGGGATCAATGCTCAGTACATTCATATTTGTCTATGATGCTACATCTCCAGTGAATGAGTATTTTGGAGAAAGTCTGCATGCTCGACAAGGAGGAAGGAGGTGGACAAAGCAGATGTTTGTTGGGGCATTCATTATCCCGGCTGTGGTGTGTGGCACTGCCTTCTTCATCAGCTTTATAACCATGAGTTATCACCCTTCTAGAGCCATTCTTTTTGGAACACAGCAATTGACATAAGCAAGCCAACATGTCAATATAAAGTGGGCCATGGATTAAGCAATTTTGCCCAAATCCAGAAGCAACTGTGTATCAAAACCAGCATTCTCATAGTTTCTGCACGGGTCTATAATGAAAGAAATGTGTTCAGAGTCCCTGGGAAGCAACGACAAATGACCTAGAATGTACTTTGGTGGCACCATTACATGTCAGCAGACAGGGGCAGTTGAAGTATAGCTCAGGGTCTGTTCAAGAGGATGGAATAAGAAACATTTCAAACAACAGATGACGGAATCAGTTTGGTAATCAGAAGACCTTCATCCCAAGAACCTTCAGAAATTGCTTTTAAAAAGGAAAGAAAAATGACCATAGATAAGATAAGGACCGGGGACTTCAAGGGGAACTGAGAAATCAATTACACTGACTGAAGTAGACGCCAACTGACAAGAGAGGAACCCTGGATGAAAGCTAGACAGTAGCTGGTTGCAGGTAGCTCAGGCGGCTGCAGCAGCGCAGTGGGCTCCTATCCTTGGACAGAGTTGGGCGCTGAGAAACCCCCTTTGACCCTCAGTGTCTGGCCAGCAACACCGGACAGACTGTTAGCCCTCTGAGTCACAGCACATGCTCACCCAGGCTGGTGAGTGAGCGCCTAGCCGAGATGCTCAGTGGTATATACTGCCTAAGAGACAGTCAGCTCCAGCTCTGGGAGCAGCTGTGGAGCCTGACCCTGGGGTCCAGTTTCTCTGGTCCTCATTGTTTCCATAAATCTGGTGCTGCAAAGATCTTGCCAGGAGTTAGGAAACACTGTCACAACAATGGAAAACAGATTATTACAGTCAAGTGAGACATGTTGAGACTATACAGTAGCACACTTTGGGGCTTTTTATTTACATACATACATATATATGTATGTATGTATGTATGTATGTATGTATGTCTCGTGCCATCCAAGTCAGCCTCACGTGACTGCAAACTTGCTGTGACGCCAAAGATGACCTTGACCTTCCGGTCTTCCTGCTTCCACCTCCCAAGTGCTGGGGCTATAGATGGGCAAGGTTCTGTCAGCGCAGTGCTGAGGACGGAACCCAGGGAGTCACCCAATGCAAGGCAAGCCCTCTACCATCTGAACCGCCTCCTCGGGCCTTAATTTGTTGTTTTCGTTTTTTGACACAAAGTCTCGTGTTCTCATTTGGTTGATGAGCAGAGAAATTAGGGCCTGTGCCTGAGAACACGGGAGTGAACGGCAGCATGGGTGGTCCCTGCCAGGTTGGGTCTATCCTGCCAGTGGGTAGTGGGATGTGAGCCGTGGCAGCATGGAAAACCATCCTTTAGTGAATGCTTGAAGGAGAGACACTGCAATGAGGTAAATTTCGTGGGACCTCTGAAACCTATGGAATACCAGCCCCCAGCCCCAGCCTCCAGACCGCTGCGGCATCAGCCTCGGGGGTGGGCCGCTCAGCAGTAGTGGGTCCCCCGCACATGCACACTTTGCCAAGAAAGCCAGTGAATGCCTGGATTGTGGGGAGAGCCCGTGGGAAGCCCCAATCACAGGATGCTCTGCCCAAGAGCCCATCCACCTGAGGAGCTTAGGGACCAGACAGGGCACTGTGGAAGTCCCCATTTCAGGAGCAACAATGTCCCTCGAGAAGCTCCACACGCCCTGTTGTGAGCCTGCTTTCACCTCACAACCTCCCCTCTGTTGGAGTCCTGTGGTTTCATTCATCCATCAGCCGACCAATGTCAGCGCCAGCCCCCACCCCCAGCAGAGGTCTGCTCTTCTCTAGGGTCCTTGTGACCTGCCCCAGCTCTGCCCTTCCTAACCAGCCCTATGTCCAGACACAGCCCATCTGCCTCCATTGACTAGAATTGCTCTTTGGCACCTGGTGAGGTGACCAGTGGGAGGCCACCTGAGTTCAGCCCTCTGTCATTCCCAGGGCACTGACTGAGCTGGCGCCTCCCAGCAACAGCTTTGTGTAATAAAGCGGCGGCAGCACCGTGTGGGTGTCTTGTGATCAGGTCTGGATGAGGCACAGTGCATGGAAAACACCATAGTAAAAGGACCCAGAATGGAACAAGGGCGTGAAGTGAATGAACAAGCGTGAATTCATTCTCTGCCCTACACATGTCTGGAAAGTTAGGGAGAATCCAGTCAATGGGGTTACCCACCCAAACTACCGCCAGCCTAGAATTTAGCTCCCAGGCTCATTCCCTTCATGGGGGTATGGTGTTGACCAGGCTTTCAGACATGGGCAGAGAAGCAGACACACACTGGAAGGGGCAGCTCCTCTTTGATGGAGAATGTACAATCAATCACTAGAGCTGACTGATGGAGTCCTGGGGCTGGACCACAGGCAGAGAAGGGAGAAAACATGTAGGTGGAGTTTCTCTGTGTCCTAGCAGCTACTCCCAAATAACCACATAGAGACTTAATATTAATTATAAATATCCGACCAATAGCTTAGGCTTATCTTAAACCAGCTCTTACAACTGAAATTAACCCATTTCTATTAATCTATTGCTGTTCCAAGGTTTGTTTCCCTCATCTATGAACTTCCCATGTTCCACATCTGGTTCAAGACTCCTCAGACCCTGCCCTTCTTTTCGGCATTCTCTCTGCCCTGAAAGCCCTGCCTAGCTATCGGCCAGTTCATTTTTATTAACAATGAGGACAACACATGTTCACAACATGCAGAAGGATTATTCCACAGCAGAAATCCCTCAGGCTTCACAGCTGGACAAAGCCTGCCCTCACCCTCCCAATTGTGACTGTCCTTTGTTTCCGAATAGACTGGAGATCACAGAAGCTCCTGAAGTCCTGATGAGATTCTTGTCATCCTAGAATAGAATCCTCAGGGTCCATCCGAAGGGTAAGGGATCCTGGGGGCTGTAGGCTACATAGATGGCATCGCACATAACAACTGTGCTAATACCAGGGTTGACCTACGCCTTGTTCAAGGAGAAACTGTTCCAGCATCTGCCCTTCGCCCACAGCCGGACTGGGGGCCTCTCTGCAGGGTTTTCATTTGCCAGGAATCTTTGAACTCAGGTTAAAGCAGCAAACTTCACTACCGGTTCAGGAATCAGCAGGTAACATGCAGTGGAGCTCAGCTCTTTTGAAGTGGTGATGCTCAGACTCAGGTCCTCTGAGGTAGTTGCAAGGAGGGAGCCGTGGGATATATGAAAAGAAGAAGCCCCCCAAACAGTTCACTTCGCCTCCTGGGTGGCCTTCCACAATCCCCGGTAACAGATTCACAGCCATGATGTCTTCCTTGCACCAGCACTTGGAGGCCAGCAGATGGCGACCTTGGAGACAGAGCGCCACATACAGCACCCTGGACAGTGGCGAGGGTCTCCTTCAGCCTAAAGCCTCTGCCTGTGGTCCGGCTCCAGGGCCCCCATCTTCAGCTCTTGTGATTGTACTCAGTGAACATTCTCTCTTAGAATCCTTCTGACTGGAGTAGAAGTACCACACCTAAGGCTATGAAACATTTCAGTCACATGATGACACCTGGCTCTGAGCAGCAGCGTCTAAGCCTACGTGGGAGTTCTGCTCTTATCGGCTGAGATAGATAAAGCAGACACTGAGGATCAGCAGCACCCAGCTCGCGTGAAGGCTCACGGTACTGTTGCAGAGGTCTGTGTTGCAGCAGGAGGCCTTGGAGTTATTCTGGTTCTGAAGGACATCGGGACAGGTAAATCCACATGTTCTTGTAATGAGCGTTTGCTGGCCTGGGGGTGCTGGAAACAGAGGGCAGAAGGGGAGCCATTTACTGAGAGACCTATAAGACCCACTCCTGGCCCTACTAACAAACCCAGGCCACCTACAACTTCCAGTTCAGAGGGACCCCCAGCAAGAAGTCAGGAGGGTCAAACTCAGGTTGTGACCAGAAACAAGGCTCAGTATGTGGTCAAAATTAAGGATTAATATGTAACCCAGGGTCACAGATCATTGTGATGAAGACCAAGACTCAGATTGTGACCAGATAGAAGGTTCAGAATATGACCTGAATTAGGACTAAAAGTGGGATCCAAGGTCAGGGCTCAGGAATGCGCCTAGGGTTACCCACTCCCGACTTCTCTCCCCTTTCCTTTCTGAGCAGCCAGCCTTCTTGGGAAGGGTTAGAATTGCACGTTTCACGTGTCTGCACTACATACGGTGGCTCGCTTGGAATATCCCACTCACTCTAAAACAGTACCGTTGGTTCCATTTTGAAGGGAGGGCAGTGCACTCAAAACCTCTCAACAACTGAGAGAACTCTCAGGGCCATATCTCTCCCCCCCCCCCCAACTCTACCAGCAAGTTGCCTTACCCTAGCATCCCCGGGTGCCAAATGAAAGGTTCCATCCCCTGTCCCACCCACCTAGGACCAAGGTACTCACCATACCAGGTGGTCAAGCAATAGCGGCTCTTGTCGCTGCAAGATCTAGGGTTGTAGCAGCTTCCTGCGGTGGTACTACACTCGTGACATCTCAGCGCCTGAGCTGGAGGGACACAGCTGGGGTCAGAGATGGAGGCATTCCATAACCACACCAGACAGCACAGGAGGCACAGACATTTCTGTGGGAAGCACTAACCACCGAGCAACCCATTCTGTCCCCCGATCACCTACATGGACAGCCCCTCAGCAGCCACACTGAGGCACGGGAGCATAGGGCTGTCTCTGGTCCAGGAAACCAAAGCTCTAAGCAACCAGCAGTCAGTCCATGCTGCTGGTCATAACCCACAACAAAAGGTCACCAGCCACATGATGCTAATCCCACAAGACTTGGCAAAAGAGACAGTAAGTCCAACAGAATATCTAGACTTGATAGAAAAGACGAGTAGGGAGAACCAGTGAGATGGTAGAGCTTGCTGCCGAGCCCCCCAAAGATCTGAGCTCAATCTCCAAAAACTCACATGGTGGAAGAGAATTAATTCCAACAAGTTGTCCCCTGATCTCCACATGCACACTTTGACATGACCACATACATACACACACAGAGAGAGAGAGAGAGAGAGAGAGAGAGAGAGAGAGAGAGAGAGAGAGAGAGAGAATATAAATGTAATGAAATAATTTTAAGGCTAGTGAAGGTACCACAAAAGGGTTCCACAGCTAGACTGTGTCCCACTCCCAGCTCAGGCAGCCTGGCTGAGGCCTGCAGCAGGTCCTGTCCCCTATACCAGAACCTCCTCTGGCCAGCAGGACCACATCATCTGGAGGCAGGTCCAGCCAGGTCGGGATGTCAGCCAGACTCCTAAGGGACTCTGGTGACCTAGGACAGGGTTCCTACTTCCTGGCTTACCTGAGGAGCCCAGCAGAATCAGGGGCAACAACCAAAGCAGATGAGTCCTCATCTTGGGCGATGGGCAAGCAGAGCGTGTGTCTGGATGAGGCTAGTGCTGGACCAGCCTGTCTTTATAGTTCCTCCTGCTGTGGTGGGTGGGGCCTCGGTCCCTCTCCCACCTCTGACATGTGTCACCTCTAAGGGTGTGGTTGAAAGGTAAACACTTCCAAGATTGCCTTGTCTGGTGCTCCAATCCCTTTTCCACATGTCCATCCTCCCTTTCTCCTGCTCCCTAAGCCCCCACCTAACCCCATCCGGCTGTGTTGCTCCTACTCCAGTCAGGCCATCATCCAGGGACCATTGTCAGTCCCTTGTCCATCTTAGAAGATGCTTCAGGCTGGGTTGAAACACTGGGAAATTGTCTTCTCTTGGTGGAGGAAGAAGGAGCCCCAAGTCACAGTGCCTATAGGTGACATCCTCTCAAAATTCCACTCCTTGGTATATAGAGGGCAACTTCCCCTTCATATCCTCACACGTCACCCTCTCTGTGTGCCTGTGTCCTGACCTCTTCTAGACAGAATGCCTGCCGGATTGGATTGGATCATATAAGTAACTTCCATGTGCCTTAATAGTCTATTAGAGGGCAGTTTCCCAAAAGTCCCAACCCGAGGGACTGGGCGCTAGGGATCTCAACATATGATTTTGAGGGGATAGAATTCGGCTCATGTGCTGGCTAGTTTTATGTAAACTTGACACAAGCTAGAGTCATCTGAGAAAGGAGGGCCTCAGTTGAGAAAATGCCTCCATAAAATGGGGCTGTAAGCAAGCCTGTAGGGGGGGGATTTTCTTAATTAGTGATTGGTGGGGAATGGCCCAGTCCATTGTGGATGGGGACATCCCTGGGCTGGTGGTCTTGTGTTCTACAAGAAAGCGGACTGAGCATAGGAGCAAGCCAGTAAGCAGCACCCCTCCATGGTCTCTGCATCAGTTCCTGCCTCCAGTTTACTACCTTGTTTGAGTTCTTATTTATTTGAGTTTTCTGTTTGATTGCCTTTGAAGATGAACTGTGGTACAGAAGTGTTACCAAAATAAGCCTTTTCCTCCCCAAGTTTCAACAGGGTCTAGACCCTGTTCATAATTGCAAAGTGTGAAAGAGAGAAGGGTATGAAACCGACCTCCTCAGAGCACCTTCAGGCTCCTCAGTTCCTCCAATAAGTCCAGGGAGGGTTCCCTCTATGGCCTGCCAGGGGACAGAAGAGGAATCCACAGTGACATTCACACCACAGGCAGGATAAAATGAGGCACAATGGAGAATATTGAGCTCAGAATGTTGGGGGGCAATGGGCTAAGGATGCTGGATATCAGTGGGCTGGGGATGTTGGATGTCGGTGAACTGGAGATGCTGGGGACCAGTGGTCTTGGAATTCTGGTTGTCAGTGGACTGGGAATGCTGAGGGGCAGTGGGTTGGGAATTCTGGGTATCAGTGGACCGGGGATGCTGGGGGACAGTGGGCTAGGGATACTGTGGGACACTGGGTTGAGGATACTGAGGAACAGTGGGCTGGGGATGCTGGGGGACAGTGGGCTGGGGATGCTGGGGGACAGTGGACTGGGGATGCTGGGAGGCAGTGAACTGGGGAAGTTGTGGAGCCAGTGAACTGGGGATACTGGGTATCAATAGACTAGGGGTATTAGAAGCAACAGGATGGAGATGCTGGGAGGCAGGGGTATGAAAGCATGTTGGTAATGTTCATAGGTTGAGCAGAGCTCAGCTCTGTAAAGATATTCAGTGATGCCAAGTGTAAACACTGGTCTTCCTTCCCAACTTGCAGGATCCCATTTTATGGCAACAAAATAGAAAGCCCAAAGGGAAAAGGGACCAGCCAGGCTGTTCTGTGAGTTATGGCTTCCCTCCCCCTGGAGGCTTCATCTGCCCATTGAGGAGAATTTTCCCCTGGCACACTCCTAGGCTCCCAGGACAAAGAAAGTATCCTGCTGTGCCCCAGGCTTGTGTCTTGCTCCCCTGCTGGGGTCCCAGTCATTTAGACTGGCTAGTTACCATACCCACCCCAACAGTGACAGGATCACATCCTACCCAGAACTTGGCCAGCAGCCAAGCACAACGGCCTTCTGCCTGAGCCAGCTGTGCAGTGAGAGCCTTTTACACATGGTCATGTATCCAGGGAAGTGGCTGACTTCATAACACCTCCCAGACGAACCCTCTAAGGTTAAAGGCTGCATGACCTCAGCCACTCTGCTGTCATGATTACCTCTTCTGGTTAACGAGGCTCAGGGGTTATCCTGGTGAGGCACACATTCCAGATAAGGGACTTAGGCAACACCTTGACCAGTCATAGCTGCCAGCCTCGAAGGCCTGTTTGTTGTCTTGGTTCCTCTAGACAACTTACACAGGGCTACAACCCGCCAGGAATGGAGCTGATCACATTCCAAGCCTAGCAGTGTAGGTGCCCTGCCTCACCCAAAGGTGATTGACTAGATGGGAATAAGCTAAAGATTTAGGCATGGGGAGATGACACTAAGAGTCCTAAATGTCATTATGGAACCTTTGTAGAGGCAGAAGGCTGGGGAGGTGGCTCCATCAGCGTAGTGCTTGCTTTGCAAGCACGAGATCTGGAGTTTGGTCTCCAGAGAACCCACATGAGAAGCTGGGTGTGGTGGTATGTGCCTATAATTCCAGCAATCGAGAAGTACAGATAGATCGGTCCCAGAGGCTTGCGGGACAGTCAGTCTAGCCTCCTTGGTGATCTCCATGCCAGTAAGAGACCGTGTCAAAAAGCAGACAGACAGACAGGCAGGCAGAGAGAAACAGACAGAAAGAGGAAGGGGTGTACAGGACCCACACCTGGACCCTTTGTCTCTGGGATTCTAGGTCACTGTGTCCTGATGCTGTCTTCACCAAGGATGCGGCACTAAGAAAAGGTGTGTCTGTCTATTTTCTGGAAGTCTTCTTTGTTTTGGTTACATGTAGTCCAGGATGGACTTGAACTATTGATCTTCCTCCCTCCACCTCCAGAGAGCAGATAGCACAAACGTGGACTGCCACACCTAGTGTCGTGAGTTGGTTTTTAATAAAACTTTATTATGGTGGCAAAACACACATAAGCATCTACCTTACCTCTGTAGCTATTCAAACAGTTGAGTGGCAGTAAGAACATTCATGTTGAGCCACCATCACCATCCACTCATCATGAGTGATGACCCACCATCGTTATCTACTAATAATCCACAGAATGTTTTCATCTGTCTAGACAGAAGTTGTCCCCGTTAAGCACTGATGATGAGGGATTCCCCTCTGTATGCTATGATTGCCATTGATTAATAAAGGAACTGCTTTGAACCTATAGCAAGGCAGAACTTAGCTAGGTGGGGGAAACTAAACTAAATGCTGGGAGGAAGAAGGCGGAGTCAGTAGGAAGCCATGGAGCCCCTCTGGAGACAGATGCTCAGGATGAAACTTTACCCGGTAAGCCACAGTCACATGGTGATACACAGATTAAAGGAGATAGGCTAGTTTTGGATATAACAGCCAGAAATACGTTTAAGCTATTGGCCAAACTGTATTGCAAATAATTTGGTTTCTGTGTGATTATTTCAGAAAGTCTGGGCAGGACAGAAACCTAAATTTCTCATTTCTGTCCCATGTGTCCTGGTTATCGTTGGCTTTTGGTTGGGTTGACTTTCACAGTGGCGCTCATATAAGACATAGAGTAGCAATTCTTTGTGGTTACGTTAAACATCATAAAGTAACACTCCACACCTGTTGTATATACACCCATCAATTTCAACAGCATGTAAAACCCCTCTCCTTTAGAGGTCTAGCCTCAGCTCAGTCCAGTACGATATTGGTATCACAACATTACGTTCTATCCAACCATGCATCCCAAATCATTAATTAACCATTGTTTCAATTTACTAATCTCTGTGACATGTAAAAAACAAAATGTGGGTTTCCAAACCAAATTATAGCTAGCAACAGATACTCCAGGCTGCCACTCTGCCCTGAGATGCTACCCACAATTTCCTAAGGCTAGACTGCAACACCACAAGCCCCTCACACAGGTGTAAACCATAAACCATAAACATTACACACCCATCTGATTGTTGGTCAAGAGCCAGTCCAAACCACCAAATTACAGAACTCCCTGTTAGGCTGAAAGTGTGTCACCAGGGAAAGTCCCCAACTACTCGCTGTATTACATTATGATTAGATGGGACTGTCTTTGTGGTTTTCCCCTTTAAAACTGGCTGCTACCCCTGGGCTTGAGCAGCATGGTTTGAAGCCTGAACTCTGCCACCTCCACGATATCAGTTTTTGCTAACTAAATTTTTGGCTTGCTCAAACCCGGCTTTTCATGGTTTCTTGGACCCTAACAACGGCAGCTTTGGAATGATTTCCTTATTATTCCCCAGTCTCATGAATGTTGTAGGGGAACTGGAGTCATATCCAATTGTAAATGTTACTTCCTAATTGCCCTCACACTTCCCCTTCTGAGACCTTTATTCTCCCCATGACTTTTGGTTGCCTTGCAGTGTCTCCCTTGCGTGTGGGCTGCAGCAGGCAGGCCCAGTAGCGACAGCTTCCCCCAGCTAGTGCCTGTCTGGGAATGCCTTCGCTTCCTAGAACGGGATGCTGAATGTAAGATTTGGCCTTGAGAGTCCTTCTTATCTCCTCTCAGCACTTTAGCAATCTGTAGACCACGACCTTCTCCCGCCAGAGGGTCTGTGGGAAATGTGTGGACAGCCTCGCTGAGGACCCTTGTCTGTGAAGGGTTCTTTCTAACGCGCTGCTTTGAAATTCTCTTTGTCTTTAGCTTTCAGACGTTTGTTGGAATGCCTCAGTGTGGGTCACTATGCCACCATCTTAGAATCCACTGAACTTCTTGGCTGTTGGAATTCTTTTTTTTTTTTTTTTTAAACTGGGGACTCTCCAGCATGTTTCCCCCAACAACCTCTCTAGACCTTTCTCTCGCCTCCTGGATTCCCAGCGTGTCCTTCGGTCTGCCTGGTGACAGCCTTGGGTCCCCAGATTCTGCTCCGTATCATGCACTGTCCGCTCCTCAGTCCAGTCGCCAGTCTTGATTCCCCTCGGGGCTGCCTTCGGCTCCTACTTCAGCTATTTCACAAGCTTTACTTCTCAGCTTCAGAGCGACTTCTTGGTTCCTTTCTGGTGTTCTCATTTTGTTGACACCTCAATTTCTGGGCTGTCCCCACATCTTCCTTCATTCTCTTGGGCATTTTTAAGATCATCTTAGTGTCTCTGTCTACCATGTCTGTTCTCTGGTCGTTCTCAAGTGAAGTTTCGGTTAATTTTTTTGTTTGGGGGCCTTTGAATGGGCCATATGTCTGTTTTTTTTTTATAAACCTTTTGATATGTCGAATTGAAAATTGAGCATTTGACTCTAACAGTGTGGTGACTCTGGAGTCCCCCTCAGTCATCCTCCACTTGCTGAGGCAGTGTCACGGGACCCGGGACTCTCTGCTAGGTTACACCGGTGGGTCAGCAAGCTCCACGCACACACTTTTCTCCACTTCCGTGCCCCACGTCCTGAGCTAAGACTGTAGATCATGCCACTGACCCTGGCATTTTTACACGGGTGCTGAGAACCCAAACTCAAGGCCTTGCACTTGCAGACAAGCATGTCAGTCATCTCCAGCCACTCCCCTCAACCTCTATTTTTTTTTTAAAGTGGGCACTCAGTCAGTGGCTATGGGGACTTTCTAATAGTCCTGTTTATATGGTGACTTTGAAATGTCCACGACTTTAAGTGTCTGACTCAGAAGGGGGAACAGGAGAAATAAACAAAAGATAAGTGAAAGAGATGGGGATAAAATCCCCAGCCCCGTAAACCACCTATGGGTGCCTTTACGAGAGAGGCTGACTGGCCGTGTCTTTGGGTCTGAGCTGAGAAGATGCAATCTCCCATGAGAACACGGACCCCCACGTTTTGGAGAACAGAGTCCTGCTGCCTCTTCCAGACCCTTCCAGGTCATGCAGCTGACTGTCTGCTCCAGGAGTAGGAGCTGGGACATAGGCAGTTGCTACTGTGCTGAGAGCTGAAACGGACCAAAATGAGCCATCTAAGTGAGCCTGGACCTGGCCAGCCTTCGCTGGACCGCGGCACCCAAACAGTCACATCAGACAGATGTGCAATTTTTGCTTAGGAACGGAGAGCAGTTTCTGCTGCTTTCCAATCTGTCATCTTCCCAGACCAAGGTTTTAATACTACAAAGGATGAACCGTTTTGGCTGTACAGAAAGAAAAGGAAGAAACTCCAAGTAAAGAACCCACCTCAGCTTGGAGGTGACCGCAAACCTTGTGAGTATAGGTTTCTTAATAAATTAATTCGTTTTCTTCGTCAACAACTCTGTGAAGTGCTGGGCTTTGCTCGTTGCCTAAAAGTGGTAGCATTATTCGTGGTTAGTGATGATAGAGCAGTGGTAATGGTTGGTAGTGATGGTGATGATGGTGATGGTGATGATGGTGGTGGTGATGATGGTGGTGGTGATGGTGATGATGGTGGTGGTGATGGTGATGATGGTGGTAGTGGTGATGATGGTGGTGGTGATGGTGATGATGGTGGTGGTGGTCATGGTGGGGGAAGTGGTCATGGTGGGGGTAGTGATGATAATATTGACTGTGACAGTGGTGATGGCTTTTTCTGACTAACAGCGGTAAAGCAGTGGAGAGTGAGTACATTACAAGCTTTCCTGGCATGAGTCAATATCAAGTGTTGGTTAAAGTCTCAACCTTGAGGATCCTAAGCGCTTGGACTTGAGCCCTGGCACTTAGCGAGGCACGGTGATGGCCGTATTAGTCATGTTGTGTGCCTCACTTACCGGCCTAATCGATGTGATAGGGATAATTAACTGGAAATTAACTCTCACGGGGAGCCTCGTCCAGGAATGGTGTGAGAGTCTCACCAGGAACGCTGTGTCTTCAACGACTCTGTGCTGTGTATCAAGATTTTCCTGGGTGTGGTGCTCACACCTGGCTTCTCGTTCCTTAAGAGCCCGAGGTGGGAGAATTGCTGTGACTGCGAGGGCTAGCCTTGACTACAAAGTGAGACTCTATCACAAATGGAAGGACCTAGATTGCCATGATTTCTGGCTTTGATCCACTCTGGTGATGCTGCTATGATCCACCCACCTGCCACCTTTGTACACTTTCTTCTGCCGCAATGGGAAGGGGTGGCATTTCCAGCAATCGGATCCCCTTTTCTCTTTTGGGGAGCTTCTACTGAAAAATGCCACTGTAGTTTATTTGGTCTCCAGAGTTCCACCCACTTAGCACTGAACCTGTGTAGTAGTGGTGATGGTGACAGGAGTGGGGGTGATGGTGGTGATGATGATGGGGGTGATGATGGTGATGACGGTGATGGTGGTGATGGTGGTGATGGGGTGGGGGTGATGACGGTGATGGTGGTGATGGTGGTGATGGTGTGGGGGTGATGATGGTGATGGTGGTGATGGTGGTGATGGTGGTGATAGTGGTGATGGGGTGATGATGATGGGGTGATGATGATGGGGGTGATGATGGTGATGGTGGTGATGGTGGTGATAGTGGTGATGGGGTGATGATGATGGGGGTGATGATGGTGAAGGTGGTGATGGAGTGGGGATGATGGTGGTGATGGTGGTGATGGGGTGATGATGGTGATGGTGGTGATGGGGTGAGGATGGGGGTGATGATGGTGATGGTGGTGATGGGGTGGGGGTGATGATGGTGATGTGGACATTGATGGTGATGGGGGATAATGGTGGGGGTGGTGATGGGGATGATGATGGTGATGGAGGTGGTAAGAGGGATGATGGTGGTGGGGTGTGGCAATGGTGGGGGGTGATATTGGGGGTGATTAGGATGGTATTACTAGTAGGGTGGTGATGGTAGAGACAGTAATGGTTGTTTTTCTGAATAATGGTGGTGAAGGAAATGGAGGAGTATATCACAACAGAGCGTGCCCACTTGTTGTGTCTCTGCCACAGCCCATTTCTCCCCTGCAGACACTGACTCTAAGTCACAGCCTTTCAAGCTTTCCCTGGTGCCCATTTCCCACCAGATCAAGTCTACCTCATCACTGTGAGCTCTGTTTCCTTTGCCCAGTGTTGAGATGGAATCCCAAACTCATACTGTTTTGTTATAGTCGGCCACCTCCTTGCTGTGAGTCTTCAGGCGATATTTAACACCGTGCCTCACTTCCCTTGTCTATAGCTTAGGCTTCATAATAGCACCCACTCCTAAGGCTTAGGGGAGAATCGAGTGAGTTTAATAAGCACAGATCCCTAAAATGGGCCTCCTACACCTTTACACGGCGTTAACCAACTTGATCACCACAACACACAAACCACCCAAGTTCTTCACCTGCCTCAAAGGCCCAGGCCTCACAGACCCTGGTAGAAGTTAAAAGGGTGTCTTAGAGCTCCTGTTCTCCTGGCCAAGCTGAGCAGCTCCTTCTTCATGGCCTGAGCAATGGAGTTAGAGCAAGGTGTCACGGAGTCAGAGTCAGTTCCTTCAACATGACACACTGCAGACCGGAAAGGAAGCCAGAGGCTGCTGGGAAAGAGGTCCATCAGTTTCCACGGTGATGGTAACATACAGCCTTGACCCCTTGATTCACGAGTGTTCCAGTGAGTCACAACACCTCTACAGCGCCGCACAGGATCCTGGAAGTTAGTCACCTGTGACTCTGTTTGGACCCCTCCCTATCTCTCTGGCTCCTGGCCCAGGCTCTCTACACAAGTCCACACCTAGAGGACTCTGGCCTCTGGAAACACCATCGTAGATTTAGTTCACCTGCATCTGCGAGGCAGCGGTGCTTTTTGCATAGCTGACATCCGATCCTCACCGCATGGGAGAGGGGAGTCATGTGGGACCTGGAAGTTGTGTCCGCACATGCCACACAGCTAGCCAGAAACACAGCCCTTCTTGTGCACCGAAGCCACCGCGCCCCAGGCTACCCTCTGTCTCCACACCCTCCACTCCGCATCCGGCCCCACCCAGGTGCTTCTCCACACCTCCACACAGTCCACCGGTGCCTGTGAACTGGAGGACCATTCAGAGGCTGGAAACAGCTCATATTCAGCACAGGCACATATTCGTGCACAGCCTCCACGCTTCTGCCTCTCACCTGTAAGCCCGATACAGGCAATGCCTTTTGGGACAGGTGAAAGAAAGTGGTTTATCAAGCACGCTGGCCAAGTCACAGGCAGGCTCGGTATTGCCAGTATTCCTTTTTGGATGCCAAGAGCTGCTTTTCGCTGCAGCTCCCACCTCCCTTCTGTCTCTGCCTTGCTCTGTTCTCGCTCTCCCTGTTGGGTTTGGCCAGGCAGCCCCGCTAAGCACACTCCAGCTCTTTCCTCCCTGGTTTGCCAGGTCCCTTCCATCATCTCATCCTCCTCCCTCTGTCTGACCCACGCTGTGCCAGGACCAGCCAGCCCTTCCTAGGTGCTGCCTAGTCATCTTCCACCAGACGACTTATATTTCTTCTTTGATTAAACTGGCTCCTCCCCAGGTCCCCCATCACACAATCATGGGCCGGGGATCAGTTCAGTCCCTCGGGTTCTGTAGCCATTAGCTGGTCTCAATAGTCCCCTTCTCTATACCCATGCCTCTTCTGACTCAGGTCCTGCCCCCAGCTGCATCTATGGCCCTCCTGTCCTAGGTTGTAGAAACCCTGACCAGTGCAGCTGACGGTGGCCCCAGACTCCCTCGGCCTCCGTCAGACCTCCCAGGCTTTTGGAACTTTTCTGAACGCCTCGCTGCTGTTGTGTTTTCTTGTCATCTAACATGTGGCATGTGGTGTGTGGCATCAGCTGGGAGGCACACAAGTATATCTGCACAAGGTGTGTGTCCTGTGATTTTCACATGGTTATACCTGGGCCATGTCTGCAGTCAGCTCGGGGTCATTGAACCTCATCTGTTCTTGGATGGGAGAGTCAAGCTGGGGCGCTCTCTCTCTCCTCCACTGAGTGGTGCCTGCGCAGCACCTCCTCATGTGTCAATGCTTTTGACTATGCCATAAGGTCTTCATCTATTCGCCTGTTGATGAACAATGGGGTTGATTCCAGCTAGAAATGAATATGATTCTAAAAGTGTTTTGAAGGCTTCCCTTCTTATTTCTCCTGTCTACAAAAGTCTAGGATGAAATTGCCAGGGTACGGGGAGGCTGGTGTTGACAGTATAGTCAGCTTCCTGTTACTGTGACAAAATACTTGCCATAATCAACTCGTGAAGAAGAAAGATTTGCTTGGGCTCGGTTTCCATCCATGGTCACTAAGGCGATTTGCCTGTGTGCCTGTGGCAAGTCACTATACCATGGCAGGAGAGCCTAGCAGAGCAAATTTCTTGACTCGCATCTTGGAAAAGAAAAAGAGAGACCAAAAGACTGGTTTCCAAAACCCCTTTCAAGGGCACACCCCCAATGGCCTAAAACCTGATGCTAAACCTTTTAAAGGTTGTATACCCCTCAGAAGCTCTTCTCGTGGATGGACCTCTAATGTGTGGGCCTTTAGGGACAGTCTGAATCCAGCTATGGAGCTGGTGCTAAATCCGGCTGCAAGGCATTCCAATCGGCTCACTCCCGACACTCCATGCCTCCATCTCTCTGCTCATGCTGGGAGTTCTGTTAACTTTAGGCCTGCCAGGCATCCTTCCAACTCACCGAATGGGCCCTGGGCCCTGTTAGATATAAATGGCATAGAAACAAAGTTTAGAGACTTTGTTAAATCAAGAGAACACAAGATGCCCTATAAAATCTGAGCTGTCCTAAATATGACACGACACGACACACACACACACACACACACATATGTGCACACACATGCACACACAAAGAAGAAACTGCCCATCATGTCTCTGAAGTCCAGGAGCCCTGGTAAGTCAGAGGAGCCTGTGAGGACAGAGATGTAAAGGAAGCATGAGGCCTGCTGTGGAAGGAATATGAGGCCTTACATGACCGAGGGCATGAGGAGGACATGGAGGGGGGCTGCCTCCCTGAGTGGGTCCTAACAAGTAGGGCAGAGGCATCAGACTGCAGCACAGACTCTGGACTCACCATCCCCACAGGCTGCCTTGCAGGCCAGCCCTTCACCGTCCCCTCCACCACAGTAAACCCAGAAAGATGGAAGGGGGAGGGGTCTGGAGTTGCTCCCCTCTGGCAGTGATGTGAACTTCTCCTTGCAACAATGTCACCCTTTCCCTGAATGCCAAGGTCACAGGAAAATGCCAGGCTTTTGAAGCAGCAGAATGCATAAATCACTCACACACACACACACACACACACACACACAAATGCATGTGCAAACAGAGATGCAGAGCTAAAGATCGAGAGTCTGTGGATGGTTGGAGTGTCGTTCTGTTTTGCATCTCTGAAGTGCTGGGAATTGCCACTGAACCATATGCCCAGCCATGTGGCCGGATTTTAATGATGGAGCTAGTATTTTAAAAGCCCACACAGGGGTTGGGGGAGACTGGAGGAATGGCTCAGTGGTTGATAGTGTGCACACTCTCCTTGCAGAGGGTCTGAGTTTCGTTTCCAGATTGAGGGAGGCCTGAAGCCTTCAGTTTATCCTAAAACACCTCTCTCTCTCTCTCTCTCTCTCTCTCTCTCTCTCTCTCTCTCTCTCTCACACACACACACACACACACACACACACAATTCCGCATTCAAAGCAACACACAGACACATCACATACAAGATACTATACAAAGTACACATAACACATGTGCACACATGTGCACATCACACACAGTAATCATACATAGATTACACATACATGTAGCTCACATACCAGAAAATGTCACCTTTTCAACACAGAAGATGCCACAAACTTCTATGCAAAACCACGCCATATACAACACACGGATCAGACAGGGTATACAGTGTACACATACTACCTACATACTATCCTAGCCCCACACACACATCACATACACACACCATGGGCCTACATATTACACTAAAAACACGCTCGTGCACAAAATTCTTTGAACTTTGCTCAAACTGTTTTCTGGCTTATGTGGCTAATATTTGTGACGGCTGGGTTCTGCAGCAGGAAGGTGAGGTTCTTCAGCTGTGGAGTGTAGAGACTGGAAAGTACCATGGCAGTGAGAGCTTCTGCCACCAGGGGGCAGATGTAGCCCAGCTCAGAAATTTAGCTCCACTTGGGATCCCACAAAGCCTAAAGTCAAGCCCTACTCCAGCTGTCCCTGCCAATAAATAAGAGGGGTTCAGGGTAGGGTGAGGGTGGTGCCTTCAGCTCTCATATGACCACCAGCTTATAGCCACGGGTCTTGACATGGGTCTTGCCACGGGACAGCCAGAGACTACACACCCTCACCCATGCAGCTTCTCTGCCTGCCCCAAGTAGGCAGAGGATCTTGGCCCAACAATCCCTGGAGTCTCAGCTCCAAGAATACAGAATCAGAGCTACTAACCACAGGGCCCCAGCAGACCTGTTGAACTCAGAGGCTGTTCTAGAAGCTTCTGTTGCTGTGATAAATAAAGCACTGACAAAATCCAACTTGGTGACAGTCCGTCATCAAATAAAGCCCAGGCAGGAACTCAAAAGCCCATAGAGGACAGCTGTTTGATGCCTTGCCTTCCTTGGCTTGCTGTGCAGCTTTCTTACACAGTCCAGGCCCACCTTCATGGGGATGGCACTGCCCATAGTGGGCTGGGTCCTCCGACGTCATTCATCAAGTAAGACGATGCCTCACAGACACGTCCACAGGCCAACCTGATGGTATCCATTCCTCAGGTGACAAGTTGACAACCAAACAGCCATCACAGGGGCCCTCCTGTATCCAGGCTGGCCTTCCAATGGGACTGAGTCTCAGGCAGCCACCTGAGGCCTAGAAACTATCTGGGGTCTCTCCAGTCCCCATGAAGACTTGCTGGGGGGAGGAGTCTTAGTAGAAGCGGGAGGAGGAGGAAAGAGGGTAGGTCCAAACCCCCCAAAGTGAAATCCAGAGGAGCCCAAGAAGCCTCTGGAAGCTAAGGTACTGAGCCCAAGCTGTCCCAGGGCCATCCAGTATACAGAGGACTTAAGAGCATCTCAGTGAGAGACCCAGGCCAGCAGGCTAGGCAACCTTAGAGGTTACACCAGGGGGTGGAAGGGGCAGAGGGAGCCTTTTGGACCAGGTGATAGGATCGGGAGACAGAAGTGGAGGTGTGCAGAAAGAAATTACACCCCCTCGGCCCCGTGTCTGCAGCTGTTGGAATGCAGTGGACCTGGCTGCAGAGGAGGTCTTGCCCTGTGTGCCTGGGCAGTGGAATCACGTGTCTAGGACATCTGATCTCCTAACCCAGCGTGGGCAGGGCAGGTGGCACCTCACCTGGCACCTCACCCCTTCCCCCCTCTTTTATCTTCCCCCCCTCCCCGCATCATTTCCCCTCACCTTCCTCCTCACTTCAGGAAATGAAACTCAGCCTCTGGGTCCTCCTCACCACCACCCACAGACGCCTAGGCCTCAGGAAATGGAAACTCTGCCCCAGGCTCCTCCTCTCCTTCCCACCCCCAACCTGGTCTCCCTCTGCTGCTTCTCCTGGCTACCACCTCCCCTGGGAGGAATCATGTAGAACCTATGGCTTGTGGAGGGTCAGGATGGACAGGAATACAGGGGTTGTGGACAGAGCCAAAATTCTACTGAGTCTAACTTAACCCTCCCTAACCCTGGGAGAAAGGTGGCAGCCACACTGCGCCTGCTCAGAGAGGGTAAGAGGACGGGGTAGAGCAGGACAGGAACCCCCAGCAGGTTGGGTAAGAAGTTTGGACCTCCCAAGCAGTTTCTCTCCATCTCTGAGCCTGAAACATTTGCCCTGGTACCCTTCAGATGTACGAACAGGACAGTCTTGCTGCAAACCAGAAGTACACGAGGTCAGAGGCTTGCCCCTTCAAGCCTACCTGGATCCCCCAGGTCCCCAGTGGCACAGAAAGTCTGCCCAAGTTCCCAGGACCTCTTTACTTCCTGGGGCCTCCACTTCTCTTCTCTGGGTCTCTTTGGGTGTCCTCCAGAAAGACCACCAGGAGCTTCTGTAAGGGCCTGGGGCTCACAGTAGCTGTTCAGAGTGATCTCTTTGCTGGAGTCCTACACAGGTGCTGGAGAGTGATTCTCTATGGCTCCCACACCCTTCTCATTCCCCACTGGGGGGTCACAACCTTCTGGGTCCCTGGGGGTTGTTTGCCAGCCCCTCTCTAAGTCCAGGACCCATCTCTAACTATCACCCACCCCCTTCAAACTGTGAGTCCTGCAGCTTCATCTCTGAGCCCTGCTCAGGGTGGGCAGCAATGAGACAAGGTCCCGGGGACCAGGTGACCCTGGTTTTCTCATTAGGGTTTCTGTTGCTGTGATGAAACACCATGACCAAAGCAACTTCATATGGTACGAAGATTCTTCTTCGGCGCATGCTTAAGCTTTTCTAAGCTTTACATTTTTCAAAAGTTGAAAAGATACGTAATTAAAAATGAAAAGGAAGAGGGCTGGAGAGGTGGCTCCATGGCTAGGAGTGCTCCCTGCTCTTGCAGCTGCTCTCCCAGCACTCAAGTTAGAAGGCGCCAGCTGCTCCAGTGCCAAGGGACCTGACCTCCTCTTCTGACTCCCTCCGGTCTCTGCATGCGTCTGTGCATACAAGTGTGCATGCACACTCACACACATATATATACACACACATACACACATACTCATACGCATATATACACACACTCACACACATATACACACTCATACACACACACTCATACATACACAAATAAAATAATAAAGCAAATCTTCCCATTTTCATTTTATTTTGTATGTATTGTATTTTGCTGCATGTATGTCTGTGTGCCACATGCATGCCTGCTGTCTGTGGAATCTGACACAAAAGGAGTCAGATTCCCTGGAATCAGAGTTAGAGATGTTTGTGAGCTGTCGTGTGGGGGCTGGGAATTGTCTTAGTTGGGATTCCTATTGCTGTGATGAAACGCCATGACCTAAAGCAGCTTGGGGAGGAAAGGGTTTATTCAGTTTAGGCTTCCACATCACAGCCACCATCTAAGGAAGTCAGGGCTGGAACTCAAACAGGGCAGGAGCCTGGAGGCAGGAGCTGATGCAGAGGCCAAGGCGGGTGCTCCTTACTGGCCTGCTCCTAATGACTTTCTCAGCCTACTTATAAAACCCAGGACCACTAGCCCAGGATAGCACCACCCACATGGGCTAGGTCATCAGTTGCTAATTAAGAAAATACCCTACAGCTGGATTTTATGGAGGCATTTCCTCAATTGAGGTTCCCTCCTTTCAAATGACTCTAGCTTTGTGCCAAGTTAACATAAAACTAACCAGCTCACCTGGCTGGTATTCACACTCAGAGCTTTTAAAAAATATTTAATACTTAATCAAATTAACTCTCTCTTGAGTTACAAAATGGGTAGTAATTCATGTAGGAATCTCAGAGAACATAGAACAGAACAAAGAAGAATCAGGTGACCACAGAACTGGAAGAGGCAACTCTGGTTCCCACACTGGGAGGCTGAGGGAGCCAGAAGCAATGTGAAGCCTCTAAAGCTGGAGATGGCCACTGGGGCAGGAGCAAGGGATGGCCAGGGTCACCTCCGATCTGCATGCATTTCCCAGAGTCACCAAGCCTTTGCTTCTATATGACGGCTTGTCCTGTTTATCATCTTTCTCAAAACCCCTTTCTTGGAGAGAGAGCACAAGCAAGGAACTCAGGACCGCGAGGGGTGCACCCACACACTGAGACAATGGGGATGTTCTATCGGGAACTCACC